CCCCCCCTCTTCCTCCTCCCCCTCTTCCTCCTCCTCCTCCTCCTTCTCCTCCTCCTCCTCGTCATCGTCATCGTCATCGTCATCCTCATCAGAATCATCAGAAGTCATCATCATCATCATCCTCATCCTCATCCTCATCCTCATCCTCATCCTCCTCCTCCTCCTCCTCCTCCTCCTCCTCCTCATCATCATCATCATCATCATCATCATCATCATCATCATCATCATCATCCTTCGAGGGGCCTTATGGGATCCCTGGAGGGCTAAAACTTGGCTGACGAATTCGGGGGCACTTCTGAATTCTACGCAAAAAGCCGCCTTACCGCTGTCGGTGCCCACGCCACCAGGACAGAGGACGGGGAGTTGGTAGAGCTTGCCACCTCCTGTCGCAGTGCAGCTCCCAAATCGAGCATACCTGGAGCACCACAGCTTTCCATTCATCACTTGCAGCGAATGAGACGGTTGCACCACCTTACCCCCGATCTTTTGAGGAGGGATAGGTAGCAGGTGGAGTGGGGAGGGGCACGTTATACTCAGAAACAAACCACCTTCCTCTACACGGATTGTCTAGCACCCAGCTTTTGACCGAAACTCGAGTGGGCCCGAGTTCACAATGGAAACACAACCAGCGCTTCTTGACCCTCGGACGCTGCAACGTGCAGTGGCCCGTCACACGCTCGAGCCCCCTGCCGAAGCGTGGTTATCCTCGCTGGCCTCCTGGAAGGGGCAAGGCGCTGGTGCTTGACCCCAAGCGTCGAAGTAACTTCGGTCGCTATAGCCGCTAGACGCTGATGGACCCGATGTGTGAGGACTTCACAAACTAAAACGGGAGGCACCTCCTTGGAGGCGCGCGTCCGACCCGAACATATAGTATACCCATCTTTTAGTATATCGTTTCCCGAGCGGTGTGGCCAGAAAGCGCCACCCACGACGCATCTACTATAAGATTTCTCGGTGCGCGCGTCGCCTCTGGGGGGGGCGGGGGGCGACGCACGTATGGTCTAAGTATGTTAGGGTGACGCCGATAAAAGAAAAGAGAGTCTGATTTTGGCTGGAGAAAGGGGGAGGAGGAGGAGGAGGAGGAGGAGGAGGGAGGAGGGAGGAGGGAGCATGAGGAGGAGGAGGAGGAGGAGGAGGAGGAGGAGGAGGAGGAAGATCGAGGGCTCCACCTGGAGTGCTGATCTCCTCCTGCTCCCGCTGCTGCTCCCGCTCGTGCTCCGATTTTGCTCACGCCTCGGCTCCGCCCCCTCGCGTCTCCCCCCCGTTCCCTCCTTCCGTACCTCCCCTTCCTCTGTGTCTCCATTCCAGTTTCGATACTTTCCTGGTGCTCGAATTTTTGCTCGGGTGATCGAGCCCAAAATAGGCTGGAACATCATAACCCTCCTCCGTCCTCCGTCCTCCGTCGTCCCTCCTCGTCCCTTCCTCCCTCCCTCGCTCCCTCCCGCCATCCTCCTCCTCCTCCTCCTCCTCCTCCTCCTCCTCCTCCCCTCCTCCTCCTCCTCCTCCTCCTCCTCCTCCTCCTCCTCCTCCTCCTCACAATGACACCTCTGACCCCTCCGCAGCCGCATGGCTCTTCGACGCCTCGCAAAAACCACGCGCAGGGAGCGCCCGGAAGGAGCCGGGACGAGGCCGCGCCACCCAGCTGACGCGCCGGCGCCCTGGGCGCTGCGAGGGCGCACCACTGGGCCATCTTCGACGTGGGGAACGGGCCCTGGACGTCTCCCTCGCGCGCGGGTGCGAAAAGGAGGGATGAGGTGATGACTGTCCAATGTGCCGTGGGCTCGAAAGGTGCCCAAACCTGTGTGTGTGTAAGGATGGGGCGACTAACAGGGACGCCCTGAGGGCCGCGACGTTCTGCCAACACAGCACACATCTCATATATATATATATATATATATATATACATATACAAAATATGTGTAGGGCGTATGCATGTATGCATGTATGTATGCATGCATGTAGATGTATAAAAGTATGTGTACATATACATATCACCAAATCAAAACGACCACACACGGATACAGGTACACGCATTGTGTGTGAACCGCTACGCAAGCTATGTTTGTATGTATGTACATATATATATATGCGTGCATATGTACACACATGTATATATATGTATAACATGTATGCTCAAACATATACACCTTCTACCTGATGATGTGTGTACGTATGCATGCATGTACGTAGGTATCTATGTACGAATGCTTACATGTATGCATGGATGGATGAACGTGTGCATGCCTGCATGCATGCATGTATGTCTGTATGTGTGTGCATGTATGCACGTATGTACGTACGAGTGTCTGTCTGTCTGTCTGTATGTATGTATGCAAAGGTGTGTGCATGTATGGAAGTACGCATGCATGCATGTATGCCTGTTTGAATACATATGTTCGTATGTATGTATGTGGGTATTACGTGTGTATGCATGTTTGTGTGTATGTACGTATGTGTGTGGTGTATGCATATGTGTCTGTATGTGTGCATGCATGCATGCATGTACGTATGCGTGTGCATGTATGAGTGTGAATGGATGTATAGATGTGTGCAGTAATATGTGACTGTATGTATATGTGTGTATGTGGTTGTTCGTATGTGTGTATGTATGTATATGTATGGATGTATGTATGTATGTATGTATGTATGTGTGTATGTATGTATGTATGTATGTATGTATGTATGGATGTATGTATGTATGTATGTATGTATGTGTGTAAGTACATATATGTTTGCATATGTGTATGTATATATTGATGTATGTATGTGTGTATGTATGTACGTTTGTATGTATGGTTGTATGTATGCACGTATGTGTGCATGCGTGCATGTGTATATGTGTGTGTGTGCGTGTCCGTATATATGTATGCATGTATGTAGGTCGGTAGGTAGGTGTGTGTGTTGTGTGTGTGTGTGTTTGTTTGGTGAATGGTTTGTTCGTTTGTATGCTTGTTTGTATGGATGGGTGGACGCATGTATATACATATGTATATGTATATGTAATTGTATACATATATTTACAAAATGTTTGGTTGCTGACCGTCGTCGTACTGATGCAGGGTCCCGAGTGGGCCGTCTTCGAGGTCTCTTGAAGCCGTTTTCCGGCCGTCGTGGGGGCCTCCTGGGCCGTCTTTTGGGCCTCTGGGGCCGTCGTGGTCCATCTGGGCATTATTTTTTTCTGGAGCGCATCTTTTTGGAGGCCTGGAAATGGGCACCAACACCAACACAGGGGGTTGCCTCCACAGGGGGAAGATAATCCTAGATTTCGGTGTTAGTGGAAATATTTCGGCCACCTTGGAAGCCTGACTTATTACCACCATCACCGAGATCGCGATCTTCTTCCCTCGGTGGAGGCATACCGCCGATAGTGGTGTTGGTGTCAACCTCTAGGCCTGCGATCTTTGGAATCGTCTTCGGGCCCCCTTGGGGCCATCTTGGGCCCATCGTGGCCGTCCTGGGGCGCTTGCCTGGCCCTCCCGAGGCCTCCTGGAGCACTCCGAGGTCGTCTTGGGGCCATCTGGGGCCGTCTTGGGCCCTCTTGGCGGCGCGCACAAGGGGGTGGGGGGAGGGGGGAGGGCTTCTTAGGAGGAGGCTGCTTCTTCGAAGGCGATGGCCTCACATCTATAGACAAGGCCCGCGCCTTCTAAGAAGCAGGGGTGCTTCAGAAAAACCCTCCACCTCTTCCTCCTCCTTCTCCGCCTCCTCCTCCGCCTCCTCCTCCTCCGCCTCCTCCTCCTCCTCCTCCTCCTCCTCCTCCTCCTCCTCCTCCTCCTCCCCCCCTCCCTCCACCCCCTCTGCGCGTGGCTGACCCTCCTGGGACGATCCAGAATCAGGCTCCCCGGCCGTGCCCGAAGCTGTCCCAGATCAGTTATCAAGGAACCGGTTGAATTCGCACAGCTAGAGTCGTGAGAGCAAGATGGGGATAGAAATAGAGCGAGAGGGACAGGGAATGAGGGAGAGGGAGGCATAGAAAAATAAAACATGATACTGTATTCACATCCTGAAAATCAGAGGCAGGCGAAATCGTTTTCCTGCTGGCTGACATGGGGCGCACCCATTAGGGAGGATAATACCCGTGGCCATCATATATGATACACTAGCCGGCCGCTCTGCGTTTCATCGGAAATGTCCGTATAGAGACGAAAGGGCGTGCGCTTGTGGGCGAGAGGAGAACGGGCAGGAGGCGGTGGTGCCGCGGGTGAGGATCAGGAGAGTGAGCATCAGGAAGACTCCTCCTCCTCCTCCTCCTCCTCCTCCTGTTCCTCCTCTTCCTCCTCTTCCTCCTCTTCCTCTTCCTCCTCCCCTCCTCCCTCCTCCTGCCCTCCTCCGTCCCCCTCCGTCTTCCTCCCTGCTCGTCCTCGTCGTCGTCCTCGGGGGCCTCTTTCGGGGGGCGGCCGGACTGGGACACGCCTGCCTGGCGCGCGCTGGCAGGTGCCCGGAAGTGGTCCCCCGGGGGCGCGCTGGGGCCCGACTTCCTCGCGCGCGGGGGGTCGACGTCGGGCGGGCGTCTCGAGCGAGAGCCCCGGACTGGGCCACGCCCTCTGCGCCCCCCGAGAGCGCCCTGGCGCGCGCCGGCAGGTCCCTGGAAGTGGTCCCCTGGGGGCGCGCTGGGGCCCGGTTTTCTCGCGCGCTGGGGGTCGACTTTGGGAGGGTGTCTCGAGCAAGAGACCCAGACAGGGACACGCCTGTCGCGCCCCAGACCCTGGAGCGCGTCTGAGGGCCTCCTCGGGGAGCCCCCCAACTTTCTGAGGATGTCCCACGCGAAGTCGCCGGTTTGGACTTCGTCGCCGAATTTCCCGGATTCCCCCGAAACGGAACAAGGGTGCCTCTCAGGGCCTCCTTGGGCAAGCTCGGGGGGCCGTGGAATTCGTCGCCGGACTTTCCAGATTTCTCCCGAAACTGAACAAGAGAGCCTCCTCCGATGGCCTCCCTGGGCAGGCGCGTCTGGCCGGCTTCCTCAGGACGTCCCACGCGGGGGCGCTGGTGTGGAATTCGTCGCCGGACTTCCCGGAGGAGGAGGAGGAGGAGGAGGAGGAGGAGGAGGAGGAGGAGGAGAGGGAGGGGGAGAGGGATAAGGAGGAGGAGGAGGAGGAGAAGGAGGACGGGGAGTGGGAGGAGGGATTTCTCCGAGACGGAACAGGAAGGCCCCCTGGGGTTCTCCTTAGGCAGGCTCGGGGGGCGGGTCTCGCGAGAGCGCTGGCTTGGAATGCGTCGCCGGATGTTCACGAAACGGAGCAAGGGGGGGCGACAATGGTGGCGGTGGGCGAGCCCATTCCCTCGCGCGCCGGGGGCCAGGACGACGTGAGCTCTCAAGGCGTACTCCGTCAAACGATAAGACGCCTGCGTTCCTGGCGGATTTCGTCACGAGGGGGGCGAGGAGGAGGGAGGACACGAGGAGACAGGAGGATGGGCAGGGCTAAAGAGAAAAGGCGGAAGGATGAGTATGTTTGTATGTGCATATATGCATATCTGTGTCAGCAAGTGTATAAACGTATGCATCGAACGATGCATACCAATGTATAGAGAGATTGAATATAGCCGCGTGTATATATATATATGCAGCGGTGTGTAACTAACTAAATATACACACATACAATTATTTACATATATAGGGCTATATTTATACATGCGCATTTGTGTATACGTAAATGAATGTATATATACAAGTACATCTGCACATGAAGGTGTAGCAATGTCTAAACTTGTGTATACGCGTATACGAGCATGCAACCATACATGCATGTATGGCGATTTTGATATATTATATATATACGTGCATGTCCATACAATATATGATTATGTACATATATATATATATATATGTATACATATGCACGTTTGATGCAGGTGTATATGTGTATATAAATAACGATGCATGTCGTACATGTATATATATATATGTGTCGTTCGGATCCGATCGGGCACCTCGGAGGCAGCAGTTCGTAATGTCTGGAACGTTAGAGTGCCTCTGGGATCGGGCTACGCTGCACACGGGCAGAAGCATCCACGATCGCAGGTCGTAACGCCTGCTGGGCCCTACGAATCTCAAAATGGCATCCATAGTACGGGCATATGTTCCCGATTGGCGCCGCCTCTGGAGACTGGGTGGGGACGGAAACACTGCGCGCCGTCCCTGACGGCAGTGGGACAAAAGAGTCTCTGCGAAGCCCATTTACGGGGTGCTCGCATTCTGCACGGGTGGAGGAGCGGGCGCAGGCGACGAAGGGCACAGGGCTGGGGGAATTAACAGGCGGGCGTGCAGAAAAATTCTCACTCGTGCTCGTATGTGTCTCGGACGGCGGCGCATCATGACCACTCACGAGTTGTCCATCTGCAATCGTTCGGGCATGTGCCATCAGCGCAGCTGCCTCGATTGGGCAAGGATCTCTGGCCTCAGGCCCGCCTCGGGAGTAGGCCAGGGGGCAGCGGGAGGGGCCTGCTCCTGACGACGAACTCGGAATCGCTGGGCATCCCATTCCCAGATGAGATTATGTAGACGCTATCTGCGTTGCAGGCAACCGCAAGGTAGGGCCTCCCATGCCCAGAGCATCGCTAGTGTCCATCTGCGATGGAGTCGAGAGCAATCGTGGGCGTCTTACGCCTTCAGAATCTGCTGCAGATGCTATCTGCGATGGCGGTAGACTCATTCGGGGGCGCCTCGTGCCCTGAGAGTCTGTGGTTGCCACCTGCGGCGTAGGCGAATTCAGTGGGCAACCCGCGCCC